CACATTTTTCTAAAAATGATCACATAGTTCATATGAAGTGAAGAAAGCAGGCGATATAGTCCGAACATGGCACCTCGAAATATTTATATCATATTTATTTACGTACGATACGAAATGGACAAAATTACCAAATTTCTTCGGAACCTACTCCAAAGAAGGTCAACAATTTGAATAATCATAAGAGAAGTCAAAATATATTTAAATAAACCAATGGTGGCTGAGGTTATACATCTGTCGGGCAAAACTAACTGATACTTTATTACTTTTTTTTTTCGAATTTTCTCTCAAAATTCCACACCTCCATCGTTCACGGTACATATGTGTACCAAAACTCCCAAAACTAATATGAATTCTTTGTACGACCCATCACACAACCCAAACATGTTCCATCCCTCCACACATCGCCACATCAACAAACCGAATGAAGCAACAGTTGGTTGTTTACATTTCAAAATTGTTTGTTGTGATTCGCTGCGCTTTCCACACATACCAAACGATGGTTGTGGGCTTTAACTAGTTTTTGTTTCATTGTCATTACGTTCCTATGACGGAAATGCATATGTGAAGCTTTTATCAACAGAGCAACAAATAATAGAGAATGGAAAAGAAGGGCTGTTGTTAACAGAGATGAGTTAACATTAACAGTCGTGTATGGAAACAGTGCAAACTCGGTGATGACAGCTTTTAGCATGTATGTTAACGTATGAATGAGTGAGGATGAAAGAGATGAGGAGTAATTTAAAAAAAATCGGTATTTAACACAGAAAATTAAAATTTTCTTTGAAAAAAATGTACAAAATAAAAAATAATTGGAAAAAGGGATAAAAAAAGTACGGCAAAATAAATATTTTTTTTAAAATATTCAAAACAAAGTTAAAAACAGGTATTTTCAAAAATATTTTTAAAAATTACATAAAAACTTTTTGTAAAACAACCCAATTGGAACAGACAATCCTAACTTACGCTGAAAATAAATTATAATATAGGGTTAATACAAAATTCTGAAAAAAAAAATAAAATATTTTTTACAAAAATCCACATTTATTGATTCCTTAAAAAATTAATCTTTACAAAATCCACGTTTATTGGCCATTAAAAAAATATCTAAAAAAATGCACGTTTATTGATATTTAAAATAATACTTTCTTTACAAAAATCTACGTTTATTAATCGTTAAAAAAATCATTTTTTTAAATCCAAGTTTATTAATCGTTAAAAAATCATTTTTTTAAATCCAAGTTTATTGGTCTTTGAAATAATACTTTCTTTAAAAAAATCCACGTTTATTAATCGTTGAAAAAATCATTTTTTTTAAATCCACGTTTATTGGTCCTTGAAAAATAATTTTGGAAAAAAAATTATTGATCCTTATAAAAATAATTTTGAAAAAAAAAAAAAAACAATTTTATTGATTCTTGAAAAATATGCTTTAAAAATCCATTTTTATTGGTCCTTGAAAATATATTCTTCAAACAAATCCACGTTTATTTGTCTTTTGATCCTTAAAAATATCCTTCATTTATTGGTCCTTAAAAATTTATTTGAAAAAAATACACGTTTGTTGGATCCTTGAAAAATATACTTTAAAAATGAAAAAATTCACGTTTATTGGATCCTTGAAAAATATTCTCTGAAAAATCCACGTTTATTTGGTCCTTGAAAAAAATATTCTTTAAAAAATCCACGTTTATTTGGTCCTTGAAAAAAATATTCTTTAAAAAATCCACGTTTATTTGGTCCTTGAAAAAAATATTCTTTAAAAAATCCACGTTTATTTGGTCCTTGAAAAAAATATTCTTTAAAAAATCCACGTTTAATTGGTCCTTGAAAAAATATTCTTTAAAAAATAACGTTTATTTGGTCCTTGAAAAAAATATTCTTTAAAAAATCCACGTTTATTTGGTCCTTGAAAAAATATTCTTTAAAAAATCCACGTTTATTTGATCCTTGAAAAAATATTCTTGAAAAAAATCCACGTTTATTTGATCCTTGAAAAAATATTCTTTAAAAAATCCACGTTTATTTGATCCTTAAATAAATATTCTTTAAAAAATCCACGTTTATTGGTCTTTGAAAAAAAATCTTTAAAAAATCCACGTTTTTTGGTCCTTGAAAAATATATTCTTTAAAAAATCCACGTTTATTTGGTCCTTGAAAAAAGTATTCTTTAAAAAATCCACTTTTTTTTGGTCCTTGAAAAAAATATTCTTTAAAAACTCCACGTTTATTTGGTCCTTGAAAAAAATATTATTTAAAAAATCCACGTTTATTGGTCCTTGAAAAAATTAATCTTTAAAAAATCCACGTTTATTGGTCCTTGAAAAAATTAATCTTTAAAAAATCCACGTTTATTGGTCCTTGAAAAAATTAATCTTTAAAAAATCCACGTTTATTTGGTCCTTGAAAATATATTTTTTTTAAAAAATCCAATTTTATTTGTCCTTGAAAAAATATTTTTTACAAAATCCAATTTTATTTGCCCTTAAAAAAATATTTTTTAAAAAATCCAATTTTATTCGTCCTTAAAAACAATATTTTTTTTAAATCCACGTTTATTGGTCCATGAAAAAAAATATTCTTTAAAAAATCCACGTTTATTTGGTCCTTGGAAAAAATATTCTTTAAAAAATCCACGTTTATTTGGTCCTTGGAAAAAATATTCTTTAAAAAATCCACGTTTATTTGGTCCTTGGAAAAAATATTCTTTAAAAAATCCACGTTTATTTGGTCCTTGGAAAAAATATTCTTTAAAAAATCCACGTTTATTTGGTCCTTGGAAAAAATATTCTTTTCAAAATCCACGTTTATTTGGTCCTTGGAAAATATATTCTTTTAAAAAAAATCCACGTTTTTTTGGTCTTTGGAAAAAATATTCTTTTAAAAAATCCACGTTTATTTGGTCCTTGGAAAAAATATTATTTTAAAAAAAATCCACGTTTTTTTGGTCTTTGGAAAAAATATTCTTTAAAAAATCCACGTTTATTTGGTCCTTGGAAAAAATATTCTTTAAAAAATCCACGTATATTTGGTCCTTGGAAAAAATATTCTTTAAAAATCCACGTATATTTGGTCCTTGGAAAAAATATTCTTTAAAAAATCCACGTTTATTTGGTCCTTGAAAAAAAAATATTCTTTAAAAAATCCACGTTTATTTGGTCCTTGAAAAAAAATATTCTTTAAAAAATCCACGTTTATTTGGATCCTTGAAAAAATATTCTTTAAAAAATCCACGTTTATTTGGATCCTTGAAAAAATATTCTTTAAAAAATCCACGTTTATTTGGTCCTTGGAAAAAATATTCTTTAAAAAATCCACGTTTATTTGGTCCTTGAAAAAAAATATTCTTTAAAAAATCCACGTTTATTTGGTCCTTGAAAAAAAATATTCTTTAAAAAATCCACGTTTATTTGGATCCTTGAAAAAAATATTTTTTAAAAAATCCACGTTTATTTGGTCCTTGGAAAAAATATTCTTTAAAAAATCCACGTTTATTTGGTCCTTGAAAAAAATAATCTTTAAAAAATCCACGTTTATTTGGTCCTTGAAAAATATAATCTTTAAAAAATCCACGTTTATTTGGTCCTTGAAAAAAAAATTAAAAAAAAACCACGTTTATTTGGTCCTTGAAAAAATTAATCTTTAAAAAATCCACGTTTATTTGTTCCTTGAAAAAAGTAATCTTTAAAAAATCCACGTTTATTTGGTTTTTGAAAAAAGTATTGTTTAAAGAATCCACGTTTATTTGGTTTTTGAAAAAAATATTGTTTAAAAAATCCACGTTTATTTGGTCCTTGAAAAAAAATATTCTTTAAAAAATCCACGTTAATTTGGTCCTTGAAAAAATTATTCTTTAAAAAATCCACGTTTATTTGGTCCTTGAAAAAAATATTCTTTAAAAAATCCACGTTTATTTGGTCCTTGAAAAAATATTCTATAAAAAATCCACGTTTATTTGGTCCTTGAAAAAAATATTCTTTAAAAAATCCACGTTTATTTGGTCCCTGAAAAAAATATTCTTCAAAAAATCCATGTTTATTGGTCCTTGAAAAAATATTCTTTAAAAAATCTACGTTTATTTGGTCCTTGAAAAAAATATTCTTTAAAAAATCCACGTTTATTTGGTCCTTGAAAAAATTATTCTTTAAAAAATCCACGTTTATTGGTACTTGAAAAAAATATGCTTTCAAAAATCGACGTTTATTTGATCCTTGAAAAAATATTCTTTAAAAATCCACGTTAATTTGATCCTTGAAAAAAATATTATTTAAAAATCCACGTTTATTTGGTCCTTGAAAAAAATATTCTTTAAAAAATCCACGTTTGTTTGGACCTTGAAAAAAGTAATCTTTAAAAAATCCACGTTTATTTGGTCCTTGAAAAAAAATATTCTTTAAAAAATCCACGTTTATTTGGTCCTTGAAAAAAAATATTCCTTAAAAAATCCACGTTTGTTTGTCCTTTGGTCCTTGAAAAAAATATTCTTTAAAAAATCCACGTTTATTTGTCCTTTGGTGCTTGAAAAAAATATTCTTTAAAAAATCCACGTTTATTTGTCCTTTGGTCCTTGAAAAAAAATATTCTTTAAAAAATCCACGTTTATTTGTCCTTTGGTCCTTGAAAAAAATTTTCTTTAAAAAATCCACGTTTATTTGTCCTTTGGTCCTTGAAAAAAATATTCTTTAAAAAATCCACATTTATTTGGTCCTTGAAAAAATATTTTTTAAAAAAAATTCACGTTTATTGTTTCTTGAAAAAATATTCTTTAAAAAATCCACGTTTATTTGGTCCTTGAAAAAATATTGTTTATTTGTCCTTTGGCATGAGTATTGTCTCATATATGTAAGCTTTTTATTTGAGAGCTTTCAGATACAAAGCTTTGGTTTTGCATCAAAGCTTTCCTGTTATTTTGAGGTAGTTGGCAACTCTGTAAAACTTTCAAATTCAATTTTGACAGTTACAGTTCAAAATATTTATTTTCCATCCAAGCTTCTACCCCAAAAATGTTTACCACCCAGCTGCAATACCAACAGGAGGACTGCTTTGCCAATGTGGTGCAGGATTTTCTCATCTGCACCACGATACACAAGGCCCGCCATTTGGGTGTTTTCCAGGGTGAAATCTATGTCCGGCTGACATTGGACAAATGGTCAAGGCATACCAAAGTTTTTGCTAATTCAGAAAATCCCTACTTCAATGAGGTGAGTGGTGGCCAAGGGTCCTGAGGGACTCTCCTCGATATCCTTTTTCATTATCAATGATTTTTTCCCTAAGTATTTTGTGTTCGAATTGAAATGCACCTTGGCGGAACTGTTGCGCTTGACCATACGCTATGAGGTCAAACGGCATACGACATGTCGCCGAAATCCCACACTGGGTGAGCTGCTGGTGGACATGCAAAGCGTGTGGCACCAACGAAATCGTTGTTACTTCAAGAAATGGGGACGATTGGAGGCAGTCGTGGAGGAACAGGAATCCTCAAAGGGGAGAGGAGATCTGCCATCTAATGACCCCAAAGGCTATTTGCAAATTGATTTGGCCATTGTCTCGCAGGCCACAAATCCTCAGACCATTCTGAGGCCAGGTGAGGAGGATGAGGATACGATGAGCGTGACCACAAATGTTTGGCAAATTAATCAGGATTATGATAATATTGAGAGGTGGGGAAGGGGGGCAACCATTCGAAATTCCCAGGGGAAATATTGAAATTGAATCTGTTTTTTTTTTTTCAGGAATCTACTGGATAACATGGCAGCGGATGTGCAGTGCAATATTCTTTATAGTGTCAGATTTTATAGGGGAGTTATGGCCAAGAAGTCGGATTATTTGATACAAGTGAGGAAGAGTTTTGGAAATAATTTTTCCTGAATTAAATACCCTTCCCCTTTCCCCTCTTCCCAAAGTTCAGATTCCATCCCTTTAGAGGTAAATCGGCAATCGTCAAAAATTCCCAATTCCCGGTGTGGAATCAGGAAATCCATTTCTCTTGGATATATCCCTCGCTGGCCCAAACTCTCTTCCTACAGCTAATGGCCCACGAACAGCTGCAATGGAAATGCGTGGCCGAACAGGAAATACATTTTCAGGATATAGCATTTAAAGGTAGGGTGGTTGCATTATCCCTAAGAGAATTTTTTATTTAAATAAAAATGTCCTCCACTACCAGATAAACCTGCCCTGGGTCCCACCTTTATACACTTCTATGACAGCCTGAATTCCTCGAAATATATTGGCCGTGTTTTGATGGAAATTCGTTCGGAATGTTTGCAAACACCCCCACCACCTGGGCGGAATTTAAATATCAAGTCCATACAACCCTTGGATGAGTCACGCCATTGGCAGGAGGAAACATTTGTGCTGGAATTTCTAGCTCTGCAAGGGGAGTTTGTTCATGGCAATTGCAGTAATTTGAAAATTTTGATGAAGATGGGAGGTGAGTAATATTTTCCTGAGGAACAAAAAAAAAATATCTTCAGATCCCAGAAAAAGTCAAACCTTTTTTCAAAAAATTATCAAAATCCTGGAATATTCTGGGATGAAATTTATAATCTGAGTGGAATAACCAGAGGGATAAAATGGTTAGTTAAATGCACCGAGGTCGACCTGCACTCAGAGTAAAAAAAGCTGTAAGTTCGGCTCGGCCGAATACCTTTCATAGCAAATTTGGAAATTTCAAAGAAAAAAGCAAAAAAAAATGAAATTCGCTAAAAATTCTGGTGCGATTTCAAAATTATCGAATATAGCCCTTATATTGGGGTCTTTACGAAGACGTGGTACCTGTAGAAACTTCAAATACGAAATTTCAAAAAATTTCGGTGAATATTGTACCTAAAATCGTCAAAATACCGAATATAGGGAGGTACAGATATATGAGGCCTATACCTGGACCTGCACAGACGATTTTCTGGCATAGACTGTAGTACCCATTACGAATTCTAAATACGAAAGTTGAAACAACTCCGGTGAATAATCTCCCTAACATCGTCAAAATATAGAATAACAGGAGTACCGTAATATATGGGCTATATGATATCTTGCAGGGGGTAAAGTGCTAAGAAAGAAACTCTAGTATAGATTTTTAGACAATTCCTTTGAAAAATGTAACTTAAAAGCATCAAAATACCGAATATCGAGGAGAAACCTGTTCAAAAGAATTAGTAAATATTTTCTGGTTTTTTTGGGCAACATTGGTGCACACATTTTCTTTATATATAATGGAAATAGAGATTTCTGTTTTTTTGTGACTTATAGTGAAATTTTGTGTAGATAATTTCTTCTTTTAAGATTTTTTGCGTAAAATGAAATTTAATGGTACTTTCATGTTTAAATTCGAAAAAAGAACGAGAAAATTTTGATAAAAAAATAAGAAATATTTTCGCTTTTTTTTTTTTTGTGTCAACATTGATGCACTTATTTTCTTGATATATAATGAAAATAGTGATTTCTTTTCTTTGGTGACTTACAGTGAAATTTGGTGCAGATTATTTCCTCTTTTAAGACTTTTTGTCCAAAATGACATTTTATGTTACTTTCACACCTGAAGTTGAAAAAAGGCCGAGAAAAAATGTATCAAAAATTAGAAAATATTTTCGCGTTTTTTTTTTTTTTTTTTTGGCCAACATTGGTGCACATTTTTTCTTGAATATAATGGAAATAGCGATTTCTTTTCTTTGGTGACTTATGGTGAAATTTGGTGCAGATTATTTCCTCTTTTAAGACTTTTTGCCTAAAACGTAAATAAATGGTATTTTCATAGCTGAACTCGAAAAAAGACCGAGAAAAGAAAATTATCAAAAGTTTGAAAATATTTTCGCGTTTTTTGGTCCAAATTGGTGCATTTTCTTTCTTGATACATAATGGAAATAGAGATTTCTTTTCTTTGGCGACTTATAATGAAATTTGGTGTAGATAATTTCTTCTTTTAAGATTTTTTACCTAAAACGAAATTTAATGGTACTTTCATGTTTTAATTCGAAAAAAGAACGAGAAAATTTTGATAAAAAAAAATAAGAAATATTTTCGTTTTTTTTTGTGTCAACATTGATGCACTTATTTTCTTGATATATAATGGAAATAGAGATTTCTTTTCTTTGGTGACTTATAGTGAAATTCGGTGCAGATTATTTTCTCTTTTAAGATTTTTTACCTAAAATGAAATTTAATGCTATTTTAATACCTAAACTTGAAAAAAGACCGAGAAAAATTTTATCAAAAAATTAGGAAATATTTTCGCGTTTTTTTGGGCAACATTGGTGCACTTATTTTCTTGATATATAATGAAGATAGAGATTTCTTTTCTTTGGTGACTTATAGTGAAATTTGGTGCAGATTATTTCCTCTTTTAAGAATTTTTGCCAAAAACGACATTTTATGTTACTTTCAGGTGCCAACTCGAAAAAAGTCAGAGAAAAAAATTATCAAAAATTAGAAAATATTTTCGGTTTTTTTTTGCCAACATTGGTGCACATATTTTCTTGATATATAATGGAAATATAGATTTCTTTTCTTTGGTAACTTATAGTGAAATTTGGTGTAGATTATTTCCTCTTTTAAGACTTTTTGTCTAAAATGACATTTTATGTTACTTTCATGCTTGAATTCGAAAAAAGAACGAGAAAATTTGATAAAAACATTACGAAATATTATCGCGTTTTTTGGGCAACATTGGTGCACTTTTTTTCTTTATATATAATGGAAATAGCGATTTCTTTTCTTGGGTGACTTACAGTGAAATTTGGTGTAGATTATTTCCTCTTTTAAGATTTTGTGTCTAAAACGAAAATTAATGGTACTTTAATACCTATATTTGAAAATAGACCCAGACAAATTTATTAAAATTTAGAAAATATTTTCGCGTTTTTGGGCCAACATGGGTGCACGTTTTTTTCTTGATATAAAATAGAAACAGAGATTTATTTTCTTTGGTGACTTATAGTGAAATTTGGTACAGATTATTTCCTCTTTTAAGACTTTTTGCCTAAAACGAAATTTTATGTTACTTTCAGGTGTCAACTCAAAAGAAGTCCGTGATAAAAATTGATAAAAAAAAGTCATGAAGAAATATTTTCGAAATTTTTTCGAAATATTGATGCGAAAATATTTTGGCATATAATTGAAATAGAGATTTCTGTTCTTTGGCGACTTATAGCAAAATTTGAAGAAGAATATTTTCGTCTCTAATGTCATCCTTCTAAAATGATGATTTATTGGAGATTTTTGCACAAACTCACACAAAGTAAGACTTGAACCCTAAAATTTGTTTTTAATATATATGAATTCCTGGCGTTCTGGTAAGATTTAGACCCTTGATGTCTTCTGGGACTAATAGTAGAATTTTATGACGAACAATTTTGTGGAATATTTTCAATTTCTATAATCACGTTTTGAGGGAGTTTTTGACCATATTTAAGAAAAAGGACCAAAAAGACGCCTTTAGTGACTCGCTCGAGAGTTAAAAATTTCGACCAAAATATGTTTCGAGTTTTTTCTGCATTATTGCCGAAGACCTGTATTTCAAGGAATCTTAATGCGAAAGTTTCCAAAAGTGTGGAAGTAGAGTGAACTCCTCCACCCCTCTCCTATTTTAGTTATTTTTCGATGTTAACTCCAGCCATCAAATCATTCTTAACGACCTTTTTTGTCTGTTTTTTTTCAGAAACTGCTTCAAACTCCGTAGAATGTTTCCTCAAACCATACTCCTGCAAAAAAGGTCTGAAAATTGCCAAACCTTTGAAATATTTTCGCCAAGAATCACCCTACAAGGCCATTACAATGCATCTGCAATTACCAGACTATCGCCATAAATATGAAGGTGAGAAATTTATCAAGGAAATGATTCAACATATCAAAGAGGAAATGGAAAATTTTCGACAATTCCAACTTTTATACGGGCAGCAACAGCAGGCCCAGTTGAAAATATTAAGAGATATAGTTACAAGGCTAATGGATTTTATTAAGGGGGCCATGGAGTCGCGAAAGCTGGAATATCGTGGAAACAAAGAACCCACACAGTGGGATGTGAAACGTTTGCTGTATTTGCGGGAGTATTTTGTAAGTATTCTAAAAAAATCGGAAAAGTAAGATTTACTCTAAGTATAGGTATAAGGAACTGTTGATGGCGGTAAGGCATTAAAATAATGTTTAATAAAAATATACAGAAAATAAGAGAGATCACTTTGATACCACTGTGGGACAAATTTAATTCCTTCCAATAATTTCGGGAACAATCCTGCAGATTATGAAAGTAGAGCTTAGGAATAGAAGGCATGTGTATCAGCGTTTTGAAAGTTTACCTCGAAAAGTAACCAAAATAGAGGAGGCAAGTTCTCCCCTCAACAACACTTTTGGAAATTTTCGAATTAATATTCCTTGGAATTCATTGATTCTTGGTATATAGTGACTTTGGCAATATTGCAGATACAAATACGAGGAATATTTTAGTGAAAAATTTTAACCCTCAAGAGAGTCAACAAAGGGGTCTTTTTGGTCCATATTTAAAATATGGTGAAAAACTACATCGTAGCAAATCAAAATATTCCACAAAATTATTTGTCATGAAATTCTACTATAGGTCCTAGAAGACGTCAAAAGTCTAAATGTTACCTAAGCGCCAGGAATTTAAATATATTTAATTAGCATTTTAAGGTTATAGCCTTACTTTGTGTGAATTTATGCAAAATTCTCCAACAAACCAACATTTTAGAGAAATGAAGTTAAAGACAAAAATATTCTCCATAAAATTTCACTGTAAGTCACCAAAGAGTAGAAATCTGTATTTCCACTCTATATCAAAATAATATTAGTATCAATATTCCCACAAAAAAACGCGAAAATATTTCCTAATGTTTTTTCGTTGAATTTTCAATTGAGGCATGAAAGTAACATAAAACTTTATTTTAGACAAAAAATCTTAAAGGAGGAAATAATCTACACCAAATTTTAATATAAGTCTCAAAAGAAAATAAATCGCTATTTCCAATGCGTATCAAAAAAATATGTGCAACAATATAGGCCAAAAAACGCAGAAATATTCCCTGATTATTTTGATCATTTTTTTCTCAACGTTTTTTCAAGTCGAGACTTGAAAGTAACATAAAATTTCATTTTAGACATAAAATCTTAATAGAAGAAATAATCTACATCAAATTTCACTATGAGTCCCCAAAGAAAAGAAATCGCTTTTTCCAATCAGAAAAATGTGTGCAACAATATTGCCCAAAAAACGCGAAAATATTCCCTAATGTTTTGATCATTTATTTCTCGCTTTTTTCAAATTCAGGTATGAAAGTAACATAAAATTGCATATTAGACAAAAAGTCTTAAAAGAAGAAATAATCTATACCAAATTTCACTATGAGTCACCATAGAAAAGAAATCCATATTTCCAATATATGTCAAGAAAATATGTGCACCAATGTTGCCTCAAAAACACGCAAAAATATTTCCTGATGTTTTTGATAAATTTTTCCTTCACCTGTTTCGAGTTGATGCATGAAAGTTGCATAAAATTTCATTTTAGACAAAAAGTCTTAAGAGAGGAAATAATCTACACCAAATTCCACTATGAGTCACCAAAGAAAAGAAATCCATATTTCCATTTTATGTCAAGATAATATGTGCATCAATGTTGCCAAAAAAAACGCGAAAATATTCCCTAATGTTTTGATCATTTGTTTCTCGCTTTTTTTCAAATTCAGGTATGAAAGTAACATAAAATTTAATTTTAGACAAAAAGTCTTAAAAGAGGAAATAATCTACACCAAATTCCACTATGAGTCACCAAAGAAAATAAATCCATATTTCCATTATATTTCAAGATAATATGTGCATCAATGTTGCCCAAAAAACGCGAAAATATTTCCTAATGTTTTTATCAAATGTTCTCGTTCTTTTCTCGAATTTGAGCATGAAAGTACCATTAAATTTCATTTTAGACAAAAAATCCTAAAAGAGGAAATAATCTATACCAAATTTCACTATGAGTCACCAAAGAAAAAAATCCATATTTCCATTATATGTCAAGATAATATGTGCATCAATGTTGCCACAAAAGCAAGAATATTTCCTAATTATTTTGATCATTTTTTCCTCTGACTTTTTTCAAATTTAGGTATGAAAGTAACATAAAATTGCATTTTAGACAAAAGGTTTTAAAAGAAGATATAATCTACACCAAATTTCACTATAAGTCTCAAAAGAAAAGAAATCGCTATATCTATTATATATCAAGAAAATATCTGAATCAATGTTTGAAAAAAACGCGAAAATATTCCCTAACGTTTTGATCAATTTTTTTTCTTTTTTTCAAGTTCAGGCATGAAAGTAACACAAAATTTCTTTGTAGGCAAATAATATCAACAGGAGAAATATTCTACATAAAATTTCACTATAAATTAATTTTTTTGTGTTACTTTCATACCTGAACTTGAAAAAAGAGCGAGAACAAATTGATCAAAACAATTAGGAAATATTTTTTGGGCAACATTGATGTAAATATTTTCTTGATATGTGACGGATAGTGAAATTCGGTGTAGATTATTCCTTCTTTTAAGATTTTCTTTGCGCAAAATGAAATTTTTTGGTACTTTGGTGTCTTAACTAAAAAAAAGGCAGAGGAAATGTTGATCAAACGATTTAGGAAATATTTTCGCGTTTTTTTGGCAACATTGGTGCACAGATTTTCGTGATATATAATGGAAACAACGATTTCTTTTCTTTGGTGACTTATAGTGGAATTTGGTGCAGATTATTTCCTATGTCAAGATTTTTGTGTGAAATGAAATTTTATGTTACTTCCATGCCTCTAGTTGAAAAATCACCGATCAGCCACATTAGAAAATATTATCGCGTTTTTTGGGCAACATTGGTGCACATATTATCTTGATATACAATGAAGATAGGGATTTCATTTCTTTGGTGACTTATGGTAAAAGTTGATGGGGAATGTTCCTGTCTTTAAAATCATTCCTCTAAATTGAAGCTTTGTAGGAGAATTTTGCATAAACTTATGTTAAGTACAGATTTAATATTGATAACTTCGAAGGTAATTTTTTTTAAAATCTATTACAAGTAGATATATGACTTATTCTGAGACTTATAGTGAAATTTTGTCTAAAATAATTCTTCTTTTAAGACTTTTTGTCTAAAACGAAATTATATGTTACTTTCATGCATCAACTCGAAAAAAGGTCAGGGGAAAATTGATCAAAAACATTGTGGAATATTTTCGCGTTTTTTGGGCAACATTGATACCGTTATTTTCTTGATATGTAATGGAAATAGCGATTTCTTTTCTTTGGTGACTTATATTGGAATTTGATGTAGATTATTTCTTTCCTTAAGATTTTGTTTCTAAAATGAAATTTTATGATACTTTCAGGCCTCTATTTGAAAAAATACCGGGACAAAATGATCAAAAAACATTAGCTAATATTTTCGGGATTTTGTGGGAATATTGATACTAATATTTTTTGGATATAGAGTGGAAATACAGATTTCTTTTCTTTGGCGACATATAGTGAAATATGGTGTAGATTATGTCCTCCTTTAAGAGTTTTTGTCTAAAATGAACTTTTATGTTACTTTCATGTATCTACTTAAAAACCACTGCGAAAAAATTGATCAAAAATATTAGGAAATATTTTCGCGTTTTTTGGGCAACATTACTGCACATATTTTTTTGATTTATAATGAATATAGAGATTTGTCTTCTTTGGTGACTTATAGTGAAATATGGTGTAGATTATATGCTCTTTTAATATTTTTTGTCTAAAATGAAATTTTATGTTACTTTCATGCCTGAATTTGATAAAAATCCCGTTTTTTTTTTTTTTTTGGGCAACATTGATGCAAATATTTTCTTGACATATAATGCAAATATCGATTCCTTTTCTTTGGTGACTTATAGTAAAATTTGCTACAGATTATTTTCTCCTTTATGTCTCTACTCAAAAGACCACCGCGAAAAAATTGTTCAAAAATATTAGAAAATATTTTCGCGTTTTTTGGGCAACATTGCTGCACATATTTTCTTGATTTATAATGAATATAGAGATTTGTCTTCCTTGGTGACTTGTAGTGAAATATGGCGTAGATTATACCCACTTTTAAGACTTTTTGTCTTAAATGAAATTTTATGTTATTTTCATGCCTCTACTTGAAAAACCACCGAGAAAAAATTGATAAAAAATGTTAGGAAATATTTTCGCGTTTTTTGTGGAAACATTACTGCACATATTTTTTGATTTATAATGAATATAGATATTTGTCTTCTTAGGTGACTTATAGTGAAATTTTGTGTAGATTATTTTCTCTTTAAAGACTTGTAGTCTAAAATGAAATTTTATGATACTTTCAGGCCTCTATTTGAAAAAATACCGGGAAAAAATGATCAAAAACATTAGGTAATATTTTCGCTTTTTTGTGGGAACATTGATACTAGTATTTTTTGGATGTAGAGTGAAGATACAGACTTCGTTTCTTTGGTGATTTATAGTGAAATTTTGTGTAGATTATTTCCTCTTTTAAGACTTTTTGTCTTAAATGAATTTTTATGTTACTTTCATGCCTCTACTTGGAAACCACCGAGAAAAAATTGATCAAAAACATTAGGGAATGTTTTCGCGTTTTTTGTGGAAACATTGATGCAAACATTTTTTTGATATTGAGTGGAAATAGCGATATCTTTTCTTTGATGACTTACAGTAGAATTTAATGAGGAACATTTTTGTCTTTGACATCATTCCTCTAAAATGTTCTTTTGTTGGAGAATTTTGCTTAAACTTATGTAAAGTACGTATTTAACCCTAAAATGCGTTTTTAATATTTTTGAATTCCCGGCGCTTGGATAAGATGTAGCTTTTTGAAATCTTCTAGAACCCATAGTAGAATTTTATGAGGAACCAAAATATTCCTCGTATTTTTATCTGCAATATTGCCAACGGCACTACATACCTAAAATGTATGAGTTCCGAGGAATCTTAATTTGAAAATTTCAAAAAGTGTGGAAGGGGGAGAACTTGCCCCCTCTATTTTGGGTTACTTTGCGATGTAAACTTTCAAAACGCCGTTACACTTGTCTTCCTTTTTGTGGTCTACTTTCATAATCTGCTGGTTTTTTTCCATATTTCAAATTTCGAACCCATATTTTCATCCTGTGGAAAAATTGTTCTTCTAATTTTTTTATCAAAACTTCTATTTCCTTAGCTTAAATTTTCCGAAGAACTTCGCAATTTAAAATCAAAGCTAAAACCTGGTGAGGAGAGGACCTTGATTCCCCTCATTGAGGATGTGTTACAGAGCCTTTCAAAATCGATTCCTAAACTTCAAAATTTGTTGTCCTTAAATCGTTTGCAAGATGAGTGGCCGGAATTGATGTTGGTTTTGAATTCCAGCAACAAGGAGTTGGGATTCTGCCGCTTAAATCCCAAAATTTTTGTTTTTCCTGGGCAGGATCGAACTGTAAATACTGATGCGGAGCAGTGCTGGAAGGTGCGTAATTTTGTGTTCAAGGTAAATGACTTTAAGGACCCTTAAAATCTTCTTCTGCAAAATATTTCTTCCTGTTTTTTGCAGGACCCTCAATGTCAGCACACCTGCAGCCAGTGCGGCTGTATTGTGGCCATTCTGTTGGGCTGCCTAGGCATTGCCACCGAAAAAGAACGTTCAAATTTCTTGCATACAATAAAATCTGATTGGTCCATTCCAGAACCCTTCTATTACAGGCCCATCGTCCTCTCCACCAGCTACAAATGCCGTGTATTTATACACCAGGCCAAGGTGAGGCCTGGAGCCGATCGCAATGGCCTCTGTGATCCCTATGTGCGCATTATGTTTGGCTCCCATGCCGCGGAGACACCAGTGCTCTTTGCCACCCTGTCGCCCATTTGGAATGCCGTGATATCCCTAGACAACCTTACCTTACCGGGAAATCCTGAGTGGTATGGCGGAAATAATGGCCCTCTCCTAGCCATCGAATTGTATGACACGGATAAAAGAACAGCCGATGATTATTTGGGTTGTGGCATCCTTCCGATGGCTGTTATGTCGAAGAAGGGACAACAGAGTTTGGAAAATGAAATGCCCAGCCAAAAACTGCAGGCCATGCAAAGCAGACATGCCTTAGAAAAATTCCAGGCCTTGCGGAGTTTATCACCACCTCCCTTGAGGTGGCTGCCCATGGCGTTGAGTGGTATAATCAGGGCAGAGATTTTGATCTCAGCCGAATTGGTGGAAATGGAAGGGGAAAGTGATGAGGTTGGCTTGTCAGAACCTGTGGTCACGGTGGGTATACCACCCGCTATAAGGCCGAATATGAAGAATTATGTGTGAGTATGGAAGAGAGGATCCAGAACTAGAGGCAGAAGTCCAATTCGGTTTATTCTAGGTTGGAGGTAACTTTCGCCGGTTTACGAAATTACACCAAATCTAGGATGTTTTCCGGGCGCCATAGAGTCAAGTTAATGATGGCGGATCTTCTGCTGGTCAGTGGCCTGTCAACCTCCAGGCTGAGGAATAGCTTTAATTTCCTGATTTCCTATGGCTCGGGAGTGGTGGTAATACCAACATTTCTTTTTTTTTTTGGAAACTTGAAAGGCTTTGACATCCCCTTCTCTTCCCAGAGCCTTCCGGACCAGTTGGAGTACTGGCCCGCAATTATTGCCACAGATATAATTTTAACCTCCAAGGATCAGGAAACCACTGTGGGGGCAGTGCTGATAGCCAATACCAAACGTTACTTAGCTTTCCAGAAGTTACAAAAATGTGTGCCCCTGGATGATGAGGAGGAGATATCGGAGGTGGAGACTACCACAACCTTGAATTTCACTCCCGATGGTGACAACGAGTCCCAACCCCTTTTAAGGCAAACCAAACAACCCTCAAAGTGGCAGAGATTTAAAGGACTTTTTCACAAAAAATCTCCCAGAAAAATCAAGCCCCCAAATGGCGCCCAAGCGTTAATGGACGAATCTCAATTCAATTGGTGGACCAAATTTTATAATTCCCAAAGTTTTCCCGAGTCCTGCAGGGCCTTGTGCCAACTGAAACATCGCTTATGTGTCTACCACACTGAGCTGGAAAAACAAGCGGAATTTAGTTATCTCTCTGACTGGGCGGAACCCTTTCAATTGGTCCATGGGGTGAGGAGTAAAACCAATTCTCCCACCAAAGATGAAATCTATGCCACCCTGAAAATGAAATTGAAATTGACGGCATGTCAATGTGGGCGCTCAGAATGGCAGGAGGGCTCGATGTTGAGGCCCTTGGTCACCGCCATGAATCCTCGCCATCAGATGCAGCTGCAATCCCTGGCGGATTTGGTGAAGTTGGTCGTCAGGGTCTATGTTGTACAAGGCCTGCAGCTACGCCCCGTGGAAAAACATGCCCAGGCCGATGCCTATGTTCGAGTCCAGCTGGGCCAGAGGCAGCTGACGAATCGTGCCGAACATGTGCCCAATGAAAGTAATCCGATATTTGGAAAATGTTTCCAATTGGAGGGTCTGATGCCAAGGTAGGTTAGTCTAGAGACATATTTGGCATATACTCCAACTTTAAAATCCCGAGCATGGGCTTAAATTTTGCAATTAGTTTAGACAGCGACCTCTATACCTAGATATATAACCTACATATATCGGCGTTGGATATATGAGATCTAGGGGTATGGGTTCGCATGATATACATATACATTATGTTTCATTTCAGAGAACATATTTTGGAGGTATCGATATTCAATCGCCACAGTTTGAGAGATGAACCCATTGGCTCCACTCACGTTGACTTGGAGGATAGATGGCGATGTCAGCATCGAGTCACAGTTGGCATTGCCAATGAATTTTCCAGGTAAAAATATATTTCTTCAAGGACCAACAGAGGACCAAACTTGGATAATTTAAAAATAATTTTTCAAGGAAAAACAGAGGACCAAACTTAGATTTTTTAAAGAATATTTTATCAAAGGACCAAAGAAACGTGGATTTTCCAAAGAATACTTTTTCAAGGACCAATAAACGTGGATTTTTTAAAAAAATATTTTTTCAGGGACTAATAAATGTAGATTTTTTTTTTAAATATTTTTTCAAGGACCAAATAAACGTGGATTTTTAAAGAATATTTTTTCAAAGGACCAAATAAACGTGTATTTTTTAAAAAATATTTTTTCAAAGGACCAAATAAACGTGTATTTTTTAAAAAATATTTTTTCAAAGGACCAAATAAACGTGGATTTTTTAAAGAATACTTTTTCAAAGGACCAAATAAACGTGGATTTTTTAAAGAATACTTTTTCAAAGGACCAAATAAACGTGGATTTTTTAAAGAATATTTTTTCAAAGGACCAAATAAACGTGGATTTTTAAGAATATTTTTTCAAAGGACCAAATAAACGTGGATTTTTTAAAGAATATTTTTTTAAAGGACCAATAAACGTGGATTTTTTAAAGAATATTTTTTCAGAGGACCAAATAAACGTGGATTTTTTAAAGAATATTTTTCAAAGGACCAAATAAACTTGGATTTTTTTAAGAATATTTTTTCAGAGGACCAAATAAACGTGAATTTAAAAAAAAAAAATTCAAGGACTAAATAAACGTGGATTTTTTAAAGATTATTTTTTCAAGGACCAATAAACGTGGATTTTTTAAAGATTACTTTTTTCAAGGACCAATTAAACGTGGATTTTTAAAGATTACTTTTTTCAAGGACCAATTAAACGTGGATTTTTTAAAGATTACTTTTTTCAAGGACCAATTAAACGTGGATTTTTTAAAGATTACTTTTTTCAAGGACCAATTAAACGTGGATTTTTTAAAGATTACTTTTTTCAAGGACCAATTAAACGTGGATTTTTTAAAGATTACTTTTTTCAAGGACCAATTAAACGTGGATTTTTTAAAGATTACTTTTTTCAAGGACCAATTAAACGTGGATTTTTTAAAGATTACTTTTTTCAAGGACCAATTAAACGTGGATTTTTTAAAGATTACTTTTTTCAAGGACCAATTAAACGTGGATTTTTAAAGATTACTTTTTTCAAGGACCAATTAAACGTGGATTTTTTAAAGATTACTTTTTTCAAGGACCTATAAACGAGGATTTTTTAAAGATTACTTTTTTTTTTTTAAGAATATTTTTTCAAAGGACATATAATCGTGGATTTTTTAAAAAAATATAATTTTTTTAGGACCAATTAACGTGGATATTCCAAAAAAATTTTTTTTCAAGGACCAATAAACGTGGATTTTAAAAAAAAAATATTTTTTCAAGGACCTATAAACGTGGATTTTTTAAAAAATATTTTTTCAAGGACCAAATAAACGAGGATTTTTTTAAAAATATTTTTTCAAGAACCAAACGTGGATTTTTTAAAGATAACTTTTTTCAAAGACTAATAAACGTGGATTTTTTAAAGAATATTTTTTCAAAGGACCAAATAAACTTGGATTTTTTAAAAAATATTTTTTCAAAGGACCAAATAAACGTGGATTTCTTAAAGAATATTTTTTCCAAGGACCAAATAAACTTGGATTTTTTAAAAAATATTTTTTCAAAGGACCAAATAAACGTGGATTTTTTAAAGAATATTTTTTCAAAGGACCAAATAAACTTGGATTTTTTAAAAAATATTTTTTCAAAGGACCAAATAAACGTGGATTTCTTAAAGAATATTTTTTCCAAGGACCAAATAAACTTGGATTTTTTAAAAAATATTTTTTCAAAGGACCAAATAAACGTGGATTTCTTAAAGAATATTTTTTCCAAGGACCAAATAAAAGTGGATTTTTTAAAGAATATTTTTTCCAAGGACCAAATAAAAGTGGATTTTTTAGAGAATATTTTTTTAAAGGACCAAATAAACGTGGATTTTTTAAAATTTTTTTTTTCAAGGACCTTTAAACGTGGATTTTTTAAAGAATATTTTTTCAAGGACCAATAAACGTGGATTTTTTAAAGAATATTTTTTCAAAGGACCAAATAAACGTGGATTTTTTAAAGATTACTTTTTTTCAAGGACCAATAAACATGGATTTTTTAAAGAATATTTTTTCAGGGACCAATAAACGTGGATTTTTTAAAGAATATTTTTTCAAGGACCTATAAACGTGGATTTTTTAAAGAATATTTTTCAAACGACCAATTAAACGTGGATTTTTTAAAGAATATTTTTTCAAACGACCAATTAAACGTGGATTTTTTAATGAATATTTTTTCAAGGACCAATAAACGTGGATTTTTTAAAGATTACTTTTTTCAAAGGACCAAATAAACGTGGATTTTTTAAAGAATATTTTTTCAAAGGACCAAATAAACGTGGATTTTTTAAAGAATATTTTTTCAAAGGACCAAATAAACGTGGATTTTTTAAAGAATATTTTTTCAAAGGACCAAATAAACGTGGATTTTTTAAAGAATATTTTTTCAAAGGACCAAATAAACGTGGATTTTTTAAAGAATATTTTTTCAAAGGACCAAATAAACGTGGATTTTTTAAAGATTACTTTTTTCAAAGGACCAAATAAACGTGGATTTTTTAAAGATTACTTTTTTCAAGGACCTATAAACGTGGATTTTTTAAAAAATGTTTTTTCAAGGACCAAAAGGAACGTGGAATTTTAAAGAATATTTCTTCAAAGGACCAAATAAACGTGAATTTTTTAAAGATTACTTTTTTCAAAGGACCAAATAAATGTGGATTTTTTAAAGAATATTTTTTCAAAGGACCAAAAAAACGTGGATTTTTTAAAGAATAATTTTTTTAAAGGACCAAATAAACGTGGATTTTTTAAAGAATATTTTTTCAAAGGACCAAATAAACGTGGATTTTTTAAAAGATATTTTTTCAAGGACCTATAAACGTGGATTTTTTAAAGATTACTTTTTTCAAGGACCACATAAACGTGGATTTTTTAAAGATTACTTTTTTCAAGGACCTATAAACGTGGATTTTTTTAAAAAATATTTTTTTCAAGGACCTATAAACGTGGATTTTTTTAAAAAAATATATATTTTTTCAAGGACTTATAAACGTGGATTTTTTAAAAAAATATTTTTTCAAGGACCAAATAAACGTGGATTTTTTAAAAAATATTTTTTCAAGGGCCAATTAAACGTGGATTTTTTCAAGATTACTTTTTTCAAGGACCAATTAAACGTGGATTTTTTTAAAGATTACTTTTTTCAAGGGCCAATTAAACGTGGATTTTTTAAAGATTACTTTTTTCAAGGACCAATAGAGGACCAAACGTGGATTTTTTTTCAAGGTCCAAGGGAGGACCAAACGTGGACTTTTAATAAATATTTTTTCAAGGACCAAAATTGGACCAAACGTAGATTTTAAAAAATTTCCTTTTCAATGTAGATTTTTTAAAAAATATATATTTTTAAGGACCAAATTTGAATTTGGATTCGTGGATTTTTAAAAAAATATTTTTTTCAAGGACCAATAAAAGGGGATTTTTAAATATTGTTTCAAGGATAGAGGAATATTTCTTCACGGATTTAGGAATATTTCTTCAAGGATTAGGGAATATTTCTTCAAGGATTTAGGAAAATTCCTTAAAGGATTGAGGAATATTTCTTCAAGGATCATCGGACTACATATTTTTTCAAGGATTTTTTAAAAATATTTTTCAAGGACCAAAAGACCAATATACGTGGATATATACAAAAATATTTTTTCCCTTTTTCTTCTACTTCTTCCCTTCCATAATATTCCTTTTTTTATTTTCCCTCCTAGTTTTGGCTACAACAAATGGAGAGATCTGCAAACGCCCAGAGAAATTTTGGAGGATCTCTGTCGCAAAAATTTCATCAAATTACCACGCTACCGAGATAATGCAATTGAGGTTGATGGGGTGACTTTTGAAGATGAAACGGAGATTTCCTTAGGTTTTCTCTCTTAAGTTTAAAAAATACCTCAAGAGTTAAAAATCTCAACTACCTTCCTTGCAGATGAGGACCTCCACGAACGCCTGTCTCTGACCGCCTTGAAAAATCTCCAAAAACTACCCTCCTTTGGCTACAAGCTGGTACCCGAACACGTGGAGACAAGGTCCTTGTATCGTCCCGAATGTCCTGGAATAGAACAGGTATTTCACACTCACACAAACGCACAAAGAAATTTTAATTATCACCATTTATCTGCTAACTATTCTCTTTACCTTCGAAATAACCACAATTTTTCGATTTGAAATGGAAACCAATTAACTTCGTCTCCTTCTTTCCCATCCCATATCTTTGTCTTAATTTTTTCCCAGGGCAAATTACAATTATGGCTGGAGCTGTACGATGGCAATCTTAATTTACCACCGGCCATTGATATTACACCGCAGCCTCCAGAGCTATTTGAGTTGCGCCTCATCATATTCAGTGTCAGCGATGTGGTCCTGGACGAACGCAATATTTTCGGCAATGCCATGAGTGATATCTATGTCAAGGGGTAAGTGGGTTTGTTTATTTTTTAATGAGTGGGGTAGGGGTGGGATATTGCAAAAGAGGGTGGGTAGTGAATGTGGGGGGTGGATGTTTTCATTTTGTCTGGAGGGGTGTGCGAGCCATTCTAAATATGAGCCAAGAAATCAATATGTCGGAGAGATGAACAGAAACCAACTTAAAAATGCTAGTTAATAACCCAATTATTTTCAAATTAAATCAGAATATGGGTGTTTCCATGGATTGATGGTAATGAAATAAATAAATTATTGGAGACGGGGCAATAGAATAAAATTTAAATGAAAAGTAATATTTTTTTTCAAATTGAAAAATTCATAGAATTCAGAGTTTCGATGGAATGATCAAAATTTCCAACTGTATTGGTTCCCCCAAAATTTAAATTGTACCAGATTTGGCAACATTTAGTACACATAGGTACGAATTTCAAAAATTACCTAGTAAGAATGAAATAGTAATCTTATTTCTAAATTTCGGAATTCCAGCTCTGTCGGTTCACGTAAAAGGAAATGGTACTAAATTTAGTACCGCTTAGTACTTTTCGTATACATGAGTACACAAACTTTCAAAACTACCTCCTTACATCGACTCCACTCCTCAATCTTGATTCCCATTCCAAATTTCGAGTTTTTACCTCTAACCGTTCACATGATACAAAATTGTAGCAAATGTAGTACATTTTAGTACTTTTCGTACCGATGTAGTACGAATTTCCAAAAACCCTTTGGTACATCTATCATGGACTTCATTAGTGACCTTCATTCCAAATATGCTTCCTCAAATACAAAGTATTTAGTACCTTTTAATATTTTCGTGCCGTTGTAGTACGAATTTCTAAAAACCCCCCATATAACGGTACCTCCATATATTCGGCATTTTAATGGTTTTTGCCACATTTCTTCTATTTCCTTTACCCTTAGGTGGAGGGTATTAAAAGTATGGCCCGGCCGAACTTAATGTTTTTTACTTGTTTTATCTCTCCCTGTATGTAGTACCTTTTAATATTTTCGCACCGTTGTAGTACGAATTTCTAAAAACCCAGCCTTATTGGACCAAGAGTGACCCTCACCCAAAATTTCAAGATTCTAACTGCAGCCCTTTTGTCTTTACGTTGATGAATCGTTAAGTCAGTCAGTCAACGATTAACGACTTAACGATTCAACAACGCCCAGACAAAAAGGCTGAAACTAGAATCTTGAAATTTTGGGTGAGGGGGTCACTCTTGGTCCAATAAGGCTGGGTTTTTAGAAATTCGTACTACAACGGTGCGAAAATATTAAAAGGTACTACATACAGGGAGCGATAAAACAAGTAAAAAACATTAAGTTCGGCCGGGCCATACTTTTAATACCCTCCACCTAAGGGTAAAGGAAATAGAAGAAATGTGGCAAAAACCATTAAAATGCCGAATATATGAAGGTACCGTTATATGGGGGTTATACCAAATCGTGGACCTACACATGCAATGTTTCGCCAAAGGAGCTAGAACCCATTATAACCTACAAATACTAATTTTCAGAAAAATCCGTGAAAAAATGCGGCAAAAACCATCAAATTATCGAATATCGGGAGGTACCCTTATATGGGGGCTATACTAAAACGTTGACCTATAAATACAATGACTCGCCACACGAACTGGGACCCATTATGACCTACAACTACCAATTTTCAGAGTAATTCTTGAAAAAATGTGTCAAAAATCATCAAAATACCGAATATTTGGAGGTACCCTTATATGGGGGCTATACCAAAACGTTGACCTATAATTACAATGACTCGCCACACGAACTGGGACCCATTATGACCCACAAATACCAATTTTTAGAAAAATCCGTGAAAAAATGCGGCAAAAACCATCAAATTATCGAATATCGGGAGGTATCGTTATATGGGGGCTATATCAAAACGTGGACCTATACATACAATGTTTTGCCACACGCACAGGGACCCGTTGTGACCTACAAATACCAATTTTCAGACAAATCCGTGAAAAAATCTGGCATAAATCTTAAAAATACCGAATATCGGATGGTACCGTTATATGGGGACTATACCAGAACGTGGACCGATATATCTCATTTTCAACACCAACCATCACAGACACAATACAAATTGCTCTGCTAAATTTTGGCGCTCTACGTCAAATAATGTGGGCTGTATCGTGATTTCAACAGACAGATAGACAGACGGAAAGACAGAGGGACATCGTTAAATCGACTTAGAATTTTACGCTGATTATGCATATATATATATATATGTACTTTATGGGGTCTACGACGAATATTTAAGGATGTTACAAACGGAATGACAACGTTAATATAAGGAGGGTATATTATAAGGTGGAGGGTATAAAAACTGCAAACAAAGTCAAACGCCATAATTTTTACATTTTTTTTTTAATTATTTTTTTTTTTGAATGAAAGCAAAAAATGTCGGAAATCGGAAATTAAATTTTAGAATAAGTTTAGATTTATTCGAATTGGTCACCTTTTGCACGAATTATGGCCTTCAAACGGCCAATGGAACCGTCACACGCCGCTGCCCGAATGTTGCTCTGCGGTATTTTGGCCCCTTACCGGCAAAGCGCTTGCTTGATCGACACTCTGGAATTTTTTAGTGCCAACCTTGCTTTCCAAAATATTCCCGACACAATAGTCCAACGGATTGGTATCCGGAGATTTTGATGGCCATTGGAAATGAAGCGAGGAACCTCATTTTGTAACGATTCTTGGGTGGTGCGTGCTGAGTGCGATGGTGCGGAGTCCTGTTGAAATGTTCAAGGTCTGGCCAAGGCCAACATTTTTCCGTGCCCAAGGCTTTAATAAACCCTCCAGAATATTTTCGCCATAATATTCGACATTTATTCTGATGCCATGGCCGATTAATACGAGCGGATAGCGACCATAGGCTGTTAAGGCGGCCCCCACCATGACCATGGCCGGCGCTTGAGTTCTGGTGGCCAACCGAAGGTGCATATTTTCAGCTGACCTCTTTGGCAAGTAATTACGATCATTTTGTTGTTGTTGTTTACAAACTGCTGGACAACGAATATTTTCTCATCGGAGACGGAGAAAACTAAATTCGGCACTTCACCACTTTCGGCAAAGCGAAGCATCTCTTTAACTCTTTCGAGTCTATTTTCTTTCTGTTGCGGTGTAAGTGCTTGCACTTTGTGGAATTTCAATGGCTTCAGCCCGAGCTAATTTTCCAATATTTGCCGATTGGAATATTGCGATATGTTCAGCTCACGAGCCATTTTTCGGCCACTGCGACGCGGGTTTCGTATCAAGTCACTTCTTTACTTTTCGAACCATTTCTGCTGATGTTGCCGTTTTCTTCCGTCCACTTCCTCGACATATGTCGGGCTACCCTACCGGTATCACGTCATCGGTAACGAGCGACGGTAGGAGACACAAAAGATTTATTCACATTTAAATGCTGGAGTGCTCTAACGATAGCCAGTTGTGGTTCTCTAGACAAATATAAAGAAATCACACTATCCCGCTTGAGATCCATTCGTCGAATAACTTTTTTTCTGGAAAATTCTCTCGCAAAATGCTTTTGTACGCTTGTAAGCAATATAATAAGCTGTCAATGGAATAATTGTAACAGCTGTCGGACGAGTGGCTTAGAAATGACAGCAGTCAGAAATGGGCTGCAGTTTTTTCATCTCACCCTAGGTCACTAATACTGAGAAATGAAAGACTAATTTCGACACTCATATGCCATGGCGGAGCTCCTTGATACTCAAAGAGATCGACACTCAAGAACAGTTGTGTATCATTGCTTGACCCCATAGAGTCACCCATAAGGTCATTCAAATGTATTTTTGTCCCTTCCAAAAATTCTTGAAAAATTCCTCCAAATTTTGTGCAAAGATTGATTTCTTCGGCTGCTGTTTCGGTTTCTCTTTGAATAAACTCCTTTGCATTTGTTTGTGTGTATGTTTTGATTTGCCTGTCTGTTTGTTTATATTCCTTAGCTGGTGTTCTAATCCTGATGAGGCCCAGACCACAGATATCCATTACCGATCAATGAATGGCGAGGGTAAATTTAATTGGCGCATGATATTCCCATTGAAATATAGCAGCATTGAAGATATGGTAAGTGGAGGTGGTAATTCGAATGAGAGAATAAGAGGGAGAGGTGTGGGAGACGGGAGGGAGAGAGAGAGAGAGCAAAAAGAGATAGGTCAGAGTGACAGTGGAACAGAGTTAAAAGAATTTTTTTTTGGGAAACTAAAACCATTGATATATTCTAGTGTTGAAAATATGAGGAGTAGGGGTAGTATTTCTCGCAAATAAGAGACAGAGAGTGGAAAGGGAGGGTGGTAGAGCAAAGAGAGTTAGGTCAGAGTAACAGTGCAACAGAGTTAAAAGGAATTTTTGAAATATTCTAGTGTTAAAAATATGGGAAGTAGGTGTAGTAATTTTCATAGGAGAGTAAGGAAGAGAGAGGGAAAGGGAGGGAGAGAGAGAGAGCAAGGAGAGACAGGTCACAGTGACAGTGGAACAGGGTTAAATGCAATTTTTGGGGAAACCAAACCCATTGAAATATTCCAGTGTTGAAAATATTAAGAGAGCAAGGAGGAGAGGAGGAAGGGAGGGAGGGATAGGGGGAAAGCGAGAGACAAAAGGGGGATAGATAACTGTGGAACAGAGTTGAAAAGAATTTTTGGGGAAACCAAAATCATTGAAATATTCTAGTGTTGAAAATATGGGGAGAAAGAGACATCTCTCGTCTCTGGATACAGGTATTTATTTTGGCACATAGACTGGTGGCTAAAATTGACGACTAAAGGAAAAATATGGTTTTATTTAATTTTAAAAATATATTTGACCTCGTAATTCTCATAAGGGAAGGCTTTAGAGCCGAGCTTTTGCAGTTGCAGTCGGGGGTGGTATCTCAGGCCAAAGTCGGAAAATATCGATTTAACTATGCCCATTTATAGTAATGACATCTTCCGTCTCTGGATACCGTATCGGACTCCAAGACTGGTAACGACTTCCAGAAAAAATTGTTTTTATTCAATTTTAAAAATATATTTGACCTCGTAATTTTCATAAGAGAGTAAGAAAGAGGGCGGAGTCTTAGGCCGAGGACGGAATGCGATTATTTTCTTAATAATGGGCATTCAGAGTAATGACATCTCCCGTCTCTGGATACAGGTATTGACTTTGAACCAAGACTGGTGGCTTTGACTTGACGACTTTCAGAAAAAATTGGTTTTATTCAATTTTAAAAATATATTGGACCTCGTAATTTCCATAAGAGAGTAAGGAGGAGAGAGGAAAGGTAGAGAGAGGAATGAGAGATAGAGAGAGGAATGAGAGATAGACAAAGGAATTTTTTGGGGTCCAACATTTGATTGGACCAAAGGCTATAGAGTCGAGCTATTATTGTAGCTGCAGTCAAGGATAGTGTCTCAGACCGAAGACGGAATCTGGTTATTGCTTTAATTATATAACCATTCTAAGTAATGACATCTTCCGCCTCTGGATCCAAGCATTGATTTTAACTTCAAGAGAGAGAGGAATGAGATATAGGTCAGACGAACATTTGTATAGAGTCTTCGGAGACCAACATTTGAATGGACCAAAGGCTTCGGAGTCAAGATTTTGCAACTGGAGTCGAGGGCGGTGTCTCAGGCCGAAGACGGAATGTGCTTATTGTTTAATTGTTTAATGACATCTTCCGTCTCTGGATACTGGTATTAACTTTGACACCAAGACTGGTTGCTGGAAATTACGACTTCCAGAAAAACGGCTTTTATATAATTTTAAAAATATCTTTCACCTCGAAATTTTCATACGAGAGTAACGTGGAGAGAGGAAGGGAGGGAGAGGTATGAGAGACAGGTGACATGAACATTGGAACACAGTTAAATGGAATTTTGGGCGACCAACATTTGAATGAACCAAAGGCTTCAGAGTCGAGCTATTGCAGCTGGAGTCGAGGACGGTGTCTCAGGCCGAAGACGGAATTTGGTTATTGTTTAAACTGTGCCCATTAAGAGTAATGACATTTCCCGTCTCTGGATACAGGTATTGACTTTGACTCCAAGACTGGTGGCTTTGACTTGACGACTTCCAGAACAATTTGTGTTTTATTTATTTATTTATTTTAGGGGAAAAGGAGGGAGAGGAATAAGAGATAGGTCACATGAACAGTGGAAGGCAGTTAAATGGAGTTTTCGGGAAACAACATTTGAATGGACCAAAGGCTTCAGAGTCAAGCTATTGCAGCTGGAGTCGAGGATAGTGTCTCAGACCGAAGACAGAATCTGGTTATTGTGTTAATTATATAACCATTCAGAGTAATGACATTTTCCGTCTCTGGATAAAGGTATGCACTTGATTCCAAGACTGGTGGCTAAAACTGACGTCTTCCAGAAAAAATCGTTTTTAATTGATTTTTAAAATATCTTTCACCTCGAGATTCTCATACGAGAGTAACGTAGATAGAGGAAGGGAGGGAGAGGAATGAGAAACAGGTCACATGAACAGTGGGACACCGTTAAATGGCATTTTTGGGGACCAACATTTCAATGGATCAAAGGCTTCAAAATCGAGCTATTCCAGTTGAAGACGAGGACGGTGTTTCAAGCAGAGGACGGAAAGTGGTTATTGTGTTAATTATAACCATTCAGAGTAATGACATTGTCCGTCTATGGATACAGGTATTGATTTTGACTCCAAGACTAGTGGCCTTGAATTGACGACATTCAGAAGAAATATCTATTATTTAATTCAAAAAATATATTTCACCTCGTAATTCTCAGGAAACAGTAAGGGGGTAGGGGAAAGGGAGGGGCAGACATAAAGGTTGGGCCACATGAACAGTGGAACATAGTTGATTGGAGATTTCGTGGACCAAAATTTGAATGACCCAAAGGCTACAGAGTCGAGCTATTCCACCAGGAGGCGACAATAATGCCACAGGCCGAAGACGGAATGAGCTTATTGATTTAACAATGCCCATTCAGAGTAATGACATTTTCCATCTCTGCATAGGGAAGGTGAGGAATGAGAGATATGTCACATGAGCAGTGGAACACAGTTAAATGGAGTTTTCGGGGGACTAACATTTGATACAGCCAAAATGTGCCTCATCGAAATAACGATTATGGACCGTATGTTTCTTTTTGACCAAATCTGTTTCAGGATATTTGGAGAAGATCTGGCGATGTCCGTCCGTCCATCCGTCTGTCTTTTCTGGCTGGTGCGTACGATAACCCATGAAGGGAGTAACCGATTTGGTTCAAACTTCCTACATCGTAATATTATTGTCAAACTTAGATCGAGTTCTGAGATGGATAATATCAGCCCACTCCTTCTGGTACCTCCCCCACAAAAGGTCGGAATTTTCGAAAAAAAATATTTTACTGCACAGAATGAGAAAGGATAATCCGATTTTACTCCAACTTTGGAAATCCTAATATTTCCAACAGTGCTAGGTCAGGTGCAAAAATTGACAATATCGGTCCACTCTATCAAGAACCTCCCACACAAAGGGTAAAAACTTTGAATAATTACAACTCTTATAAAATGTGATGTAAGAGTCCGATTATCTTCAAATTACGCACATCACAATATTATTACTAATCCAAGGTCTGGTGTGAATATGATATACATAGACCCACTCCTTCTAGTACCTCCCCCACAAAGGGTCAAAATTTGGAATATCCGTGAAGCTCATAAAACGCGAAATTAACATCCGCTTCCATTCAGACTTGGTACATCTCAATATTTCCATCAACACAAGATATGTTATGAAGATGGTAGAGATCGGACCATTTCTTCTGGTACCTACCCCACAAAGGGTCAAAGTTTTGAATAACCAAAAACGCTCAATGGAAGTGAAATAAACATTCAACTCTCGTCAGATTTCACACAAACAAACATTTTTGCTAACACAAGATCTGTTGTGAAGATGATATACAGGGTGAGATAAAAAAAAACTGCAACAAAGTCAAATGCCATAACTTTTGCATTTTTTTTTAATTTTATTAAATGAAAGCAAAAACTGTCGGAAATAGCATCAAATTTTAGAATAAGTTTAGCTTGGTTCGAATTGGTCACCTTTGGCATAAATTATGGCCCTCAAACGGCTAATGAAACCGTCACACGCTGCCCCAATGTTGTTCTGCGGTATTTTGGCCTATTCCCGGCGAAGCGCTTGCTTGAGGTGATCGACATCGAAGTTTTTAGTGCCAACCTTGCTTTCCAAAATACTCCCGACACAATAGTCCAACGGATTTGTATCCGGAGATTTTGGTGGCCATTGTGCGCTGGAAATGAATCGAGGAACCTCATTTTGTAACCATTCTTGGGGGGCGCGTGCCGAGTGAGATGGTTCTGAGTCCTGTTGGAATGTCCAAGGTCTGCGGCCAAAATGATTGCGTGCCCAAGGCTTTAATACACCCTCCAGAATATTTTTGCAAAAATACTCGGCATTTATTCTACGTGTTATGGCGGACCACACCGTTCAAGAAGTGAACGGAAGAAAACAGCAACATCAGCAGAAATGGTTCGAAAAGTAAAGAAGCGACTTCATTGAAATGTCTGCGGCCAAAATAACCTAAAATACAGGTGCCCACGGCTTTAATACACTCTCCAGATTATTTGCGCGATAATATTCGGCATTTATTCTGATGTCACGGTCGATTAATACGAGCGGAGAGCGACCATCGGCCGTTTTGGCGGCCCACACCATCACCATGCCCGGCGCTTGAGTTCTGGTGGCCAACCGAAAGTGCACATTTTCAGCTGACCTCTTTGGCAAGTAAACACGATCATTTTGTTGTTGTTGTTTACAAACTGTTGGACAACGAATGTTTTCTCATCGGAGACGGAGAAAACCAAATCAGGCAGTTCACCACTTTCGGCCAAGCGAAGCAACTCTTTAGCTCTTTTGAGTCTATTTTCTTTCCGTTGCGGTGTAAGTTCTTGCACTTTTTTGGAATTTCAATGGCTTTGCCCCGAGCTCATTTTTTAATATTTGCGGAATGGAATATTGCGATATGTTCAGCTCACGAGCCATTTTTCGGCCACTGCGACGCGGGTTTCGATCAAGTCGCTTATTTATTTTTCGTAGCATTTCTGCTGATGTTGCTGTTTTTTTCGTCCACTTCCTTGGCATATTTCGGGCTACACTACCAGTATCACGTAATCGGTAACTAGCGATGGTACGAGACACAAAAGATTTATTCAGATTTAAATGCTGGAGGGCTCTAACGATAGCCACTTGGCTGGTGGTTTTCCAGCCAAATATAAAGAAATCACACTATCCTTGAATCTCCATCCGTCGAATAACTTCTTTTCTGGAAAATTCTCACCAAAATGCTTTTGTAGGCTTGTAAACGATATCATGAGCTATCACTGGAATAATTTTAACAGCTGTCGGACGAGTGGCTTAGAAATGACAGCAGTCTGAAATTGGCTTTAGATTTTTCATTTAACCCTGTATTTAAATAATCTTTCATTGGCTGAGGTTATACATCTGTCGACAGAATCGACTGCTACCTTTTAATTTTTTTTTTTTTAAATTTTTAAAATTTTATTTCGCCTCCCTGTTTTTTATAGCGACGTTCCACTGTATTTTCCTCAAATTTTTTCTTCCATTTTTTTTCTTTATTTACTTATTTTGTAAAAATTCCGCGACGAGTTAAAATTACAACCAAATAATGAGTTCTAATTAAATTTAATTGTAATTCCAACGACCGCCGTAGAACTAAATAAAAAATTGGTAGGTGGGAGTTAAATGGATTTTTCGTTGGCGGGTCAAAGGTTAGTGGCAACAACAAATTTAGCTGCAAAGCAAAGGATGTGATAATTAGTGCTAGGCCGGAGCATGAAAAGGATCAAATGGCAAATATTTGAGAGAACGATTTTTGGATAATTAAAAAATAGAAAAAAAGGATTTTTTCTAAAAAAAAAAATCGAAAAAAAAAACACATCTTAAACAACTTAATGTCCTTGGCAGGACAAGGGGGGAGCACAAGGATACAATTTGTTAGCAAAGGAGATTGGATTTATATTCCTTGGCTAGATGGCCAAGATGACCAACAAAAAAACTAGGAGAAATAATATCTCATTAGAATTAATGAGAAATCAGAACACTCAAGGAGAACCCCTTCCCCTCGCCCTGAGAAAAAATTGCAACATAATTATGATTCCTTGGAGGACACACAAAAACTACTACATTCATATGTATGCACATACATATAAATGGAAGAGATTATAAATTGGTATTTAACACCTGTTTACTTTTCTCATCACTTCTTCTCCAACTTTCTATGACCTCCCCCCTCTCTCCTTTTCCCCCTTTTTCACCAGATGTTGGTAAAACGCAAAACCGGTCTCCTTGAGGAATATCACCGCAAACAACCGCCCCAACTCTCACTACAAATCTGGGACGATGACATTATATCACAGGATGATTTTCTCGGTTCTTTGGAAATAAATCTCTCCAATTTTCCCCAGCCCTTTGAGACGGCCAAGCAGTGTCAATTAACAACATATGAAAGTGTGTTGAACACGCAAATCGCTGGACATCGAAAACCATGTCCTGCCGCCACCGCCGCCAGACGTCTCGTGAATCTTTTCCGTGAAAAGAAAATACGTGGCTGGTTTCCGGTACGCGGTAATATTCCCGAAATGAACAATAAATTGGGTTTGGCGGGGAAAATCGATATGGAATTGGAGCTGTTGACGGAAAAGGAAGCGGCCACATATCCCGTGGGTTTGGGTAGGAATCCACCGAATGCACTGCCGGAACCAAAGTGAGTAAGAGACAAAAAATAGGAATAAGCAAGAAACTGTGATTTTGTAAACGTAGGGTCTGCTCGTAAGGTGGGTCTTTTCATAGAAGACCGGAGGGTCTTCTCAAGAAGACCGGAGGGTCTTTTTATAGATGACCGGAGGGTCTTCTCATAGAAGACCGGTGGGTCTTCTCAAAGAAGACCAGAGGGTCTTCTTTTAGTAGACCGGAGGGTCTTCTCATAGAAGACCGGAGGATCTTCTCGTAGAAGACCGGAAGTTCTTCTCAAAGAAAACTGGAGGGTCTTCTTATATAAGACCGGAGGGTTTTCTTATAGAAGACCGAAGGGTCTTTTCATAGAAGACCGGAGGGTCTTCCCATAGAAGACCGGTGGGTCTTCTCATAGAAGACCGGAGGGTCTTCTCCATAGAAGACCAAAGGGTCTTCTCATGGAAGACCGGAGGGTCTTCTCTTAGAAGACCGGAGGGTCTTCTCTTAGAAGACAGGAGGATCACCTCATAAAAGAACGGAGGGTCTTCTCATAAAATACCGGAGGGTCATTCTTATATAAGACAGGAGGGTCTTCTTATAGAAAATCAGAGGATCACCTCATAGAAGACCGGAGGGTCTTCTCATAGAGGGTCTTCTTAAAGAAGAACCGAAGGTCTACTTATAGAACTGCGGAAGGTCTTCCTATAGGTGACCGGAAGATCTTTTTATAGAAACCGGAGGGTCTTCTCATAGAAGACCGGAGGGTCTTCTCATAGAAGGCCGGAGGATCATCTCATAGAAGGTCGGAGGATCATCTCATAGAAGGCCGAAGGGTCTTCTCATAAAAGACTGAAGGGTCTTCTCATAGAAGACAGGAGGGTCTTCCCATAGAAGACTGGAGTGTCTTCTAACAGATGACCGGAGGGTTTTCTTATAGAAGAGCGGAAGGTCTTCTCACAGAAGACCGGAGGGTCTTCTCATAGAAGACCGTAGGGTCTTCTCATAGCAGACCGAAGGGTCGCACCTTCTTATAGAAGACGGGAGGGCCTTCTTATAGAAACCCGGAGGGTCTTCTCTATAGAAGAGGACCAGAAGGTCTGGTCTTCTTCTTCAATAGAAGAGGACCAGAAGGTCTGGTCTTCTTCTCCAATAGAAAAGGACCAGAAGATCTGGGCTTCTTCTCCAATAGAAAAGGACCAGAAGATCTGGGCTTCTTCTCCATAGAAGAGGCCAGAAGGTCTGGTCTTCTTCTTCAATAGAAGAGGACCAGAAGGTCTGGTCTTCTTCTTCAATAGAAGAGGACCAGAAGGTCTGGTCTTCTTCTGCAACAGAAGAGGACCAGAAGGTCTTCTTGGCCTTCTTCTGCAACAGAAGAGGACCAGAAGGTCTGCTTGGCCTTCTTCTGCAACAGAAGAGGACCAGAAGGTCTGCTTGGCCTTCTTCTGCAACAGAAGAGGACCAGAAGGTCTGGTCTTCTTCTTCAATCGAAGAGGACCAGCAGGTCTGGTCTTCTTCTTCAATCGAAGAGGACCAGAAGGTCTGGTCTTCTTCTTCAATCGAAGAGGACCAGAAGGTCTGGTCTTCTTCTTCAATCGAAGAGGACCAGAAGGTCTGGTCTTCTTCTTCAATCGAAGAGCACCAGAAGGTCTGGTCTTCTTCTTCAATCGAAGAGCACCAGAAGGTCTGGTCTTCTTCTTCAATCGAAGAGGACCAGAAGGTCTGGTCTTCTTCTTCAATAGAAGAGGACCAGAAGGTCTGGTCTTCTTCTCCAATGGAAGAGGACCAGAAGGTCTGGTCTTCTTCTCCAATAGAAGAGCAGAAGAAGGTCTGGTCTTCTTCTCCAATAGATGATGACCAGAAGATCTGGTCTTCTTCTCCATAGAAGACCAGTCAATGGTCTTCTCTCATGGAAGACCAGTCGATGGTCTTCTCACAGTTGATGGTCTTCCAGTAGATGGTCTGTTGATGGTCTTTTCATCGAAGACCAGTTGATGGTCTTCTCATCGAAGACCAGTTATCGAAAGAAACCAGTTAATGGTCTTCTCATCAAAAGAGACCAGTTGATGATGTTCTCGTCAAAGGTCAGTTAATGGTCTTTTCATCGAAGACCAGTTGATGGTATTCTCCTAGAAGTCCAGATGAAAGTCTTCTCTTTAGAAAACCAGAGGCTCTTCTCTCTAGAATATCCAACAGCCGTAGCAGTTTTTAAATTTTTGGAAGAATGATTTTTCTAACACTAACCCTAAGTAGATTTTTTAAGGATGTGGATTTTTTAAACATATTTCTAAGGAACAACAGAGGATCCAACGTGGATTGTTTTCAAAGAATATTTTTTGTCAAGGACTGAGCTCGAATTGTTAAAGGGTTTTTTTAAGGATAAAACCAAAATTTTTAAGAGTATTTTTCAAGGATCAACAGAGGACCAAACGTGGATTTTTCAACAATAAATTCTCAGGGACCTATGGAGGACTTAACGTGTATTTTTAAGAGATTTTTCTTTATGGAAATATTTGGATGGTATAAAGAATATTTTTAGGGACCATAAGAGGGCCGATCGTGAAATTTTGAAGAATATTTTTTCACCGATCAACAAAGGACCATATGTTGATTTGTAAAAAAATTTTTTTGAAGGACGTACAGAGGAGCAAATGTGGATTTTTAATTTTTTTTTCACGACTAAGCCCTGTTTTTTAAAGAATATTTTTTTTTCGGACCAAAACAAAGGACCAAATGTGGATTTTTAAAGATTTTTTTTGATAGATCAAAAGAGCACCAAAGGAGGTTCTTTTAAAGAATATATTTTTAAGGGCAAACAGAGGATGAAACGTGAATTTTTTAAAGATTATTTTTGAATGGACCAACAGGGAATCAAACGTGGATTTTTTAAAGAATATTTTTTTCAAGGACCAATAAACGTCATTTTTTTTAAATATTTTTTCAAGGACCAACAGAGTCCAGAGTACCAAACATGGATTATTTAAAGAATTTTTTTCAAGGACTAAACTTGGGTTTTTTAAAGATTTTTTTAAGGACCAACAGAGGACCAATCTTGCATTTTTAAAGACTATTTTTTTCAAGGACCAATAAAGGTAGATTTTTTAAATAGTAATTTTTCGAGGACCAATAAAAGTGATTTATTTAGAATATTTTTTCAAGGACCAACAGAAGACCCAACATGGATTATTTTGAGATTTTTTTAAGGGCTCAAGTTTGGTCCTTTTTTAAAGAGTTTTTTTCAAGAACCAACAGAGGACCTAACATGGATTTTCAAAGAAATTTTTTTCAAGGACCTAAAGAGGTCTTAACATTGTTTTTCTTAAGAAAATATTTTTTCATGGAAAAACAAATGTGGATTTTCACTGAATATTATTTGAAGGACCATCCGAGGACCAACCGTGGATTTCTTAAAGAATATTTTTTTAAGGACCAATAAATGTGGATTTTTTTAAGAATATTTTTCAAACACCAAAAGTGGATTTTTAAAAAATATTTTTTAAAGGACCAACAGGAGACCGCGCTTGGATTTTTTAAAAGAATATTGTTTCAAGAACCAAAAGAGGACCAAATGTGGATTATTAAAGATTTTTTTTCAAGGACCAGCAAAAAAACCAAACTTGGATATTTTTGAGAATAGTGTTTTAAGAACCAACAGAGGACCAAACAAGGATTTCTAAAGAATATTTTTTTAAGGACCAACAGTGATCCGAATGTGAATTTTTAAACAAATTTTTGCAAGGACCATACTTGAACTTTTTAAAAATAATTTTTTCAATGTCCAACAGAGGAGTAAACATAGATTTTTTTAAAATATTCTTCAAGGACCAAGCGAGATTCAAACGTGAATTATTTATACATATTTTTTCGAGGACCAAGTGCAGATTTTTTAGATATAATTTTTTCAAGGACCTACCGTGGACTACTTCTGGTTTTTTTTAAGGCAACTTTTTTCAGGGAACTACAGAAGACCACACGTGGATTTTTTAAAAAAATTTTTTTCAAGGACCTACCGTGGACCACACGTGGATTTTTTAAAAATAATTTTTTCAAGGACCTACCGTGGACCACACGTGGATTTTTTAAAAATAATTTTTTCAAGGACCTACCGTGGACCACACGTGGATTTTTTAAAAATAATTTTTTCAAGGACCTACCGTGGACCACACGAGGATTTTTTTTTAAAATAATTTTTTCAAGGACCTACCGTGGACCACACGTGGATTTTTTAAAAATAATTTTTTCAAGGACCTACCGTGGACCACACGTGGATTTTTTAAAAATAATTTTTTCAAGGACCTACCGTGGACCACTCGAGGATTTTTTTTAAAAATAATTTTTTCAAGGACCTACCGTGGACCACACGTGGATTTTTTAAAAATAATTTTTTCAAGGACCTACCGTGGACCACACGAGGATTTTTTTTAAAAATAATTTTTTCAAGGACCTACCGTGGACCACACGTGGATTTTTTAAAAATAATTTTTTCAAGGACCTACATCGGTTGATTTAAGATTTAAGCAAAGAAACCAGCCATTGCCAGCTTTAGGGAAATGCATTTGCGTTTTAGTCAAATTGAGATTATCGGTCATCTTCTCTCTCACACTCTCTAACTCCCTTTGTAGTAACTCAGTTTTCCTTCACAGGAAATTCCAATTCATTGGCATATTAGTTTCGTAATCAATAGAAAGATATGTCATTTCATTCTCTTACTTATTGAGATTTTTTTCCTGAATAAATTAATAGCTCAAATAATGAAATTAAATATTTTGCTATTCCAGACGACCGCCATCCTCCTTTAATCCCCTCACAAATCCCTGGAAAGGCTTCAAGAGAATTATTGCCCCAAATCTGCTGAAATATTTAATCGTACTGGGTCTCGTGGCTTTGCTGGGATTTTTCCTATTTCTATTGATTATGAATTTGCCAATACTGTTGCAGCAATGGGTTTATTAGTTCATTTTTATTTTTTTTTTTTTATTTTTTTATTTAAATAATTATTTTAATTTAATTTTATGAAAATTAAATTGATTTTATTTTATTTTTATTTTTTTTCTTTTTTTATTTATTTTATTTTCTTTAAATAATTTATTATTATTTTTGTTAAATAAATAATTTTAAAATTTAAAAAAAAAATTTTGGGGGATTTGTTAAGTTTCGTTGTAGAGTATTGAGGTCAGCATAAAATATATATGGGTATAGTTCAATATCATAATTTTTATATGTGTGTGTATGTATTGTATGCATGTGTGTGCGTTAGATTCCCGTTTCCATTTAACTTCCCAGCCACAGCATAAAATAACAACAGCCTAACAACATTCACATACACAAACATTTACACACTTCCCAGCACCAGCAAGGACAATGCCAACGAATGTTATTTAACATAGCCACACACAAACAAACAAATATACACACACAAACAAACAACTAAACAATGTTAAATATTTATTTATATGTAAATACAATTGTTATTCATTTGTATGTAAATACATCCAAGTGTAGTTATGTGAAAATGGTTGTGGCCAAAGGATTCCTGCATTTCAGCAGGACATAAACGTTTAATAGGATGTAGCCATTGGGGAGATACCTGGGTTATTGCGAGCACTCTTGTTATCCCCTTTTTATGGCGGAAATCTATCGTTCACAGGATTATTTTTAAAGCCCCATAAAGGACATTTCTTATGGCAGAATGAAAAATATGAACAAGGACCAAACGTGGATTTTTTAAAGAATATTTTTTCAAGGACCAAATAAACGTGGATTTTTTAAAGATTATTTTATCCAAGGACCACATAAACGTGGATTTTTTAAAAAAAATAAAATTTAAGGACCAAATAAACGTGGATTTTTTAAAAAATATTTTTTTCAAAGGACCAATGGACGTGGAGTTTTTAAAAAATATTTTTTCAAGGACCAATGGACGTGGATTTTTTAAAAAATATTTTTTCAAGGACCAATGGAAGTGGATTTTTTAAAAAATATTTTTTCAAGGACCAATGGACGTGGATTTTTTAAAAAATATTTTTTCAAGGACCAATGGATTTTTTAAAAAATATTTTTTCAAGGACCAATGGACGTGGATTTTTTAAAAAATATTTTTTCAAGGACCAATGGACGTGGATTTTTTAAAAAATATTTTTTCAAGGACCAATGGACGTGGATTTTTTAAAAAATATTTTTTCAAGGACCAATGGACGTGGATTTTTTAAAAAATATTTTTTCAAGGACCAATGGACGTGGATTTTTTAAAAAATATTCTTTCAAGGACCAATGGACGTGGATTTTTTAAAAAATATTTTTTCAAGGACCAATGGACGTGGATTTTTTAAAAAATATTCTTTCAAGGACCAATGGACGTGGATTTTTAAAAAAAATATTTTTTCAAGGACCAATGGACGTGGATTTTTAAAAAAATATTTTTTCAAGGACCAATGGACGTGGATTTTTAAAAAAATATTTTTTCAAGGACCATGGACGTGGATTTTTTAAAAAATATTTTTTCAAGGACCAATGGACGTGTATTTTTTAAAAAATATTTTTTCAAGGACCAATGGACGTGTATTTTTTAAAAAATATTTTTTAAAAAATCCACTTTTATAGGTCCTTGAAAAATATTTTTTAAAAAATCCACGTTTATAGGTCCTGGAAAAAAATATTTTTTAAAAAATCCACGTTTATAGGTCCTGGAAAAAAATATTTTTTAAAAAATCCACGTTTATAGGTCCTGGAAAAAAATATTTTTTAAAAAATCCACGTTTATAGGACCTGGAAAAAAATATTTTTTAAAAAATCCACGTTTATAGGTCCTTAAAAAAATATTTTTTAAAAAATCCACGTTTATAGATCCTTAAAAAATATTTTTTAAAAAATCCACGTTTATAGGTCCTTAAAAAAATATTTTTTAAAAAATCCACGTTTATAGATCCTTAAAAAATATTTTTTAAAAAATCTACGTTTATAGGTCCTTGAAAAAATATTTTTTTTTGAAAATCTACATTTATAGGTTCTTGAAAAATATTTTTTAAAAAATCCACGTTTATAGGTCCTTGAAAAAATATTTTTTTTTTAAAAAATCCACGTTTATAGGTCCTTGAAAAAATATTTTTTTTTTGAAAATCTACGTTTATAGGTTCTTGAAAAATATTTTTTAAAAAATCCACGTTTATAGGTCCTTGAAAAAATATTTTTTTTTGAAAATCTACGTTTATAGGTTCTTGAAAAATATTTTTTAAAAAATCCACGTTTATAGGTCTTGAAAAAATATTTTTTTTTAAAAAATCCACGTTTATGGGTCCTTAAAAAAAATTTTTTTAAAAATCCACGTTTATGGGTCCTTGAAAAAAATTTTTTTTTGAAAATCTACGTTTATAGGTTCTTGAAAAATATTTTTTAAAAAATCCACGTTTATAGGTCCTTGAAAAAATATTTTTTTTTGAAAATCTACGTTTATAGGTTCTTGAAAAATATTTTTTAAAAAATCCACGTTTATAGGCCCTTGAAAAAAATATTATTAAAAAAATCCACGTTTATAGGTCCTTGAAAAAATATTTTTTCGTGGATTTTTTAAAAAATATTTTTTCAAGGACCAATCGTGGATTTTTTTAAGAATATTTTTTCAAGGGCCAATAATCGTGGATTTTTTTAGGAATATTTTTTTCAAGGACCAATAAACGTGGATTTTTTAAATATTATTTTTTTCAAGGACCAATAAATTCAGATTTTTTAAAGAATATTTTTTTCCACGAAGTGAAGCTGGGGATGTGTTAAAACTCGTGCAAACAACAACTAATAAAATTACCAACAGCAAATGAGCCACATCCACGTATTTCCCTTCAGCCTCAAACAGCAAAGTGTCAACCGCGTGTTTACGTGAATGTCAATAGGTGAGAGAGTGAGTGAGTGAGTGTATTTGTAGTAGTTGTCATCCATTCATGCCATGACGTTACATGCCGGCATCTCTGTGAATCTCGCTACAAACATACATATCTACAACTCTATATAGAAAAGTCTATTTGCCATTTTATGTAAATGACTTCTTTATGCGGCAGTCGCTGTGACAGCCATGCCGAGCGTGACGGATGCACACAAACCAACAATCATCCATTCATTCTACGGAGGAGGTAAATAGACTGTCAACTATCAATTTCACAATAAAATGTCACAGCTCACAATTCACTTACGCGAATGCCCGTGCCACCAAATATGTGTGTGCGAGTGTGCGTGCGTGTGTGTGTGTGGTCTTTGTTTGTTTAAGTATACGTGTGATGGCACACTTGAGAGATCTTTTATGCGTGTAGTTGTCTGTCCAGCGGTCCTGTGGGTGTCTCGTCGCATGGCGCAAAAAAAAAGTAGTAACGGCCACAAATCGTTAACGTTAAATGGAATACTGATATGTGAGGCAGGCAGGTGCGAGGGGTTGTGAGAAAAGTTTAGAGAGAGAGAGAAAGCTTACGATTGAGAGAAATCTATTTACACGAATTTAAAGAGAAAAGTAATTGACTGACTCTGACTGATTGATTGCCTTAACGATTAATCAACACTCAGGCGAAACGGCTGAAGCTGGAATTTTGACATTTTGGGTGAGGGTCACACTTGGCCCAAAGGGGTCAGATAAGACTGGATTTCTGGAAATTCGTACTGGAACGGCATTGATTGATTGACTTAACGATTTATCAACACTCAGACGAAACGGCTGAAGCTGGAATTTTGACATTTTGGGTGAGGGTCACACTTGGCCCAAAGGGGTCAGATAAAACTGGGTCTTTGGAAATTCGTACTACAACGGTACGAAAAATATTAAAAGGTACGAAATATGGTACTATTTGTATTTGAGGAAGCAGTAGAGCTAGAACTCTTAAATTTGGAATGAGGGTCACTGATGGAGTGTATGATAGATTTACCAAAAAGATTTCGGAAATTCGAACTATAAGTGTACTAAACGTACTAAAATGTACTACATTTGGTACCATTTCGTTTCATGTGAATGGTTAGAGGTAAAAATTTTAAATTTGGAATTGAGAAGTAGAATCGATGTAGAGAAGTAGTTTTGGAAGTGAGTACTCATGTATATGAAAAAGTACTAAACGGTACTAAATTTAGTTCAATTTGAATTTGGAGGAATGGGTGCAGCTGGAATACTGAAATTAGAAATTAACATTACTGGCGGAGCATAGGATTGGGATATGGAGAAGGTTTCGAAATTTTTTACATATGTGCAGGAAAAGTACTAAATGGTACTAGATTTGGTACAATTTGAATTTGGAACGGAACGGATGGAGCTGGAATCCTGAAATTTAAAAAAAAATATAATATCAATGGAGGAAGAATTGGGATATGGAACTAGTTTTCGAAATTTTTACTTATGCGTACGAAAAGTACTAAATAGTTCTACATTTGGTACAATTTGGATTTGGAACGGAACGGATGGAGCTGGAACCCTGAAATTTGAAACTAAAATTACTGGGGGAGTATAGGATTTGGATATGGAGAAAGTTTTTGAAATGTGTACATTTATGCAGGAAAAGTACTAAATGGTACTAAATTTGGTACAATTTTGATTTGGGTGAAATGAACCGGTAGAGTTGGAATAGTGGAAATTGGAAATAATTTGGATTTGGGTGAACTAATAGAGCTGGTATCCTGAAAATTGGAAATAAGAGTTCTGCCGGAGTGTAGGATTGGGGTATGTAGGTAGTTTTGGAAATTTGTATTTACAGGGTGAGATGAAATAACTGTAACCAACTTCAGACTGCTGTCATTTCTAAGCTACGGATCGGAAAGTAAAGAAGCTACTATATCGACTTGAAACTCGCGTCGCAGTAGCCGTTGCGATGGCCAATGGCTCGTGAGCTTAACATATCGCAATATTCCATTCGGCAAATATTGAAAAATGAGCTCGGGGTAAAGCCATTGAAACTCCCAAAAGTGCAAGAACTTACACCGCAACAGAAAAA